AGATTTGCTGGGCACCGAATATTGGGACTTCTGAGCTTATTTGCTGGTTCTTGTTCTTTGCAGGTACCACTGTCACACCTGCAAAATGGTGGATGGGGTGGGTGTCTGCACAGTGTGTGCTAAGGTGTGCCACAAGGATCATGAGATTTCCTATGCCAAGTATGGATCCTTCTTCTGTGACTGTGGAGCCAAGGAAGATGGCAGCTGTTTGGTGAGAGGACCCTCCCTGAGCTGTAAAGGGTGGCTTGTTCGTGACACGGGATTACTGAAGCCGAACTGGAAAATTCCCATCACCTCTAGGATACCTGAGTCTAGGAAGATGTTCCCGCTCACTCATTGATGATCTGTACAGTTGGTGGCCTAAGCATTTCATTTAGAATATCAGAACCAGCAAATTCCTTAGAGATCTTGTAGTTCATTTTTCCTAAGACCTCCCCACAATTTCAGATGTTATAATAAGGCCTGATACTGTGAGTGGATAAAGAAGTTAGATACTAGGTGAATATTGTGAAGATCAGAATTTAGGCTTTTGGATAACATTGAAATGCTTAGCCAGTTTCTTCTTTGGGTCAGATTTTCTTCAGAGATCTCAGGCAGTATTTCCTCTGTGCTTGAGGCAAGAACTTAGGGACTCTGACGTGTTCTGTCCCTAGGCACTGGTGAAGAGAACTCCTAGCAGTGGCATGAGCTCTACCATGAAGGAGTCAGCATTTCAGAGTGAACCCAGGATTTCAGAGAGTTTAGTGCGTCATGCCAGCACCTCACCAGCTGACAAAGCCAAGGTTACCATCAGTGATGGAAAGGTTGCTGACGAAGAGAAGCCCAAGAAGAGCAGCCTCTGCCGCACAGTAGAGGGCTGCCGGGAAGAATTACAGAACCAGGTGGGGCAGACTGATGCTCCCTAGTAAGCAGACAGAGTTCAGAGCCTGCTGAACTGGTATGAGAGTAAACAATGCACATGGCTCCCCTTGCAACTCATTTTCTCCTTTACCCATTTTCATAGTGTGAATACAAATACTATGTATTGTCATCACAAGGGGAGGATTTATGACTGAGCACTATTAGGCGTATTATGGGGGGTGATGGAAGCATAAATTTTAGTTGTGTCATACTCTAGAGTACCCTTTCTTGGCCAGGGTTCCTTATCTGAAACACAGAAAACAAAATACAAAATGATTTGAGGGTTTATATTCCCAATTTTCCCAAGGATGGTACAAAACCCAAACCATTCTAGATACATAGGAGAGAAGTTAGCTCATTTCATATGAGGGATGCCTTTGCGCATTAGGATATCTGTGCAGGACCCCTGGTTTAGAAAGATTGCTCTGGAGTTAGTAGCACAAATGCATATTGATTGGAATCAATGCCAGGAGTTTGAGAATGAGAAGATGGCTAGTATATCAAACTGGAAGTGAAGTAGCTGGATTCTGAAGGAAGTTACTGGCAAGATGATTGTTAGGAGTATTATCCATTGTTTTTCTTTTTTTTTTTCACTTGTGTATTTTTTCTATTTTTCTCAGGCCAATTTCTCCTTCGCTCCTCTCGTGTTAGACATGCTTAATTTCCTTATGGATGCCATTCAGACCAACTTCCAGCAAGCTTCAGCTGTCGGGAGCAGCAGCCGTGCTCAGCAAGCCCTCAGTGAGCTGCACACAGTGGAGAAGGCAGTGGAGATGACAGACCAGCTGATGGTGAGTGTCTTGGGCCATGACGTTTGGTGGCTGTGGGAACCAACAAATTTGTTGAGATCCCAAAGTGTGCTAGATGGTCTGAGGAGTATACTTAGAGCAGTTGATCCTTGGCCGTCCAAAACTTAGAATCTAAGACATCATGACATGCCCAGAACATATTATGAACAGTGTAAAAATCAGCATATGAGGTATGGCTTCAAAAGAAGAGAACTGGCCAAGGGTGTGCCTATTATCCCAGCACTTTGGGATGCCCAAAGCAGGTGGATTGCTTGAGCCTGGGAGTTTAAGACCAGCCTTGGCAACATGGTGAAACCTCATCTCTACCCCAAAAAACACACAAAAAATTTAGCTTGGTGTGGTGGCGCAGCAACTACAGTCCCAGCTACTCGGAAGGCTAATGTGGGAGGATCACTTGAGCCCAGGAGGTTGCAATGAGCTGAGATCATAGCACTGTACTCCAGCCTGGGTGACAGAGTGAGACTCTGTCTCCAAAAAAGGAGTGGGGCTGGGGAATCCAGGGTCATTTTGGCCAACGAAGAGAATAAATCTCCTTTTTAGTTCATATAAATATATGAATCCCCAAGAGGTGGGGAATTCCATTTTGGAGCAACTAGAATAGTAGAGAGTTTTTATTTTTAGAAAATAGAACTTTATTGTATCTTCTCTAAAGTTCATCTAACTTGCAAAATAATGTTTGTCCTTTTTTGCATATAGTCCTTTAGATAACTTTCCTTTAGTTTCTCATGTCACATTGGTTATAAGGTATAAGTCATTATTGACTTTAAAACCTGCTGCTCAGCACTGAATATATGACTTCTGATGTGGCCTTCCTGGCCTTTTTTAGCAGCAGAGTTAAGTAATAGAAAGTAAAGTGGTGGCAATTCCAAAAAGGAAGTGAACAAATATTGTGAATGAGATACATGAATAGATCTCATAAATTGGCTGTTTTTTTTTTTTTTTGAAGACGGAGTCTTGCTCTGTCACCTAAGCTGGAGTGCAGTGGCATGATCTCAGCTCACTGCAACCTCTGCCTCCCTGGTTCCGGCGATTCTCATGCCTCATTCAGCCTCCTGAGTAGCTGAGACTGAAGGTGCGCACCACCATGCCTGGCTAATTTTTGTATTTTTAGTAGAGAGAGGATTTCACCATGTTGCTCAGAATTGTCTCAAACAACTGTGTTCAAGTGATTTGCCCCCTTGGCCTCCCAAAGTGCTGGGATTATAGTTGTGAGCCACCATTCCCAGCCAAAGTTGGCTGTTTTTTGTTTTTCGTTTTTTTCTTTTGAGACAGAGTCTCGCTCTGTCACCAGGCTGGAGTGCAGTGGAAGGATCTCAGCTCACCATAACCTCTGCCTCCTGGGTTCAAGTGATTCTCCTGCCTCAGCTTCCGGAGTAGCTGGGATTACAGGCGTGTGCCACCACGCCTGACTAATTTTTATAATTGTGGTAGAGACGAGGTTTCACCATGTTGGTCAGGCTGGTCTCGAACTCCTGACCTCATGATCCGCCCACTTCAGCCTCCCAGAGTGCTGGGATTACAGGCGTGAGCCACCGCGCACAACAAAAGTTGGCTGTTTTTAAGGGAATAATAGTCAGTTGGAAATATACACGTACATACACATATATATTCTGGCATTTTATTAAAATCAGTCACAGTTTTTGCCAGGTGCAGTGGCTCATGCCTTTAATCCCAACACTGGGAGGCTGAGGTAGGCAAATCACTTGACCAGAGAAGTTCGAGACCATCCTGGGCAACATGGTGAAACCCTGTCTCTATAAAAAATATACAAAAATAATTAGCCAGGTGTGGTGGTTCATGCCTGTGGTCTCAGCTACCTGGGAGGCTGAGGCAGGAGGATTGCTTGAACCTGGGAATTCGAGGCTGTAGTGAGCTGATATCACATGACTGCACTCACCACTGAACTCCAACCTAGGTGACAGAGTGAAACCCTGTCTCAAAAAAAAAATAAAATAAAATTAGTCACAGTTGTATTTGATATTCTTGGAATTAAAAGAAGTCGTAAGATCAGTCACACTGTTAGAGCGTTGGTTTTTAGATATTAAAGATGAAGCGAAAAAATACTTGGGTTGGGGACCCATCAAGTTGCTGATTTTTATGTTGCCAGGTTAGATCAATGAAAAAAAAAAAATCATCTGTCACCACAATTTGTAAGAGATTGGACATTTTAACATTTTTTTTAAAAGACCAGTACTTTGTATTTAAGTTTAGCTTTATGAAAACATTTACTATGTTATTCTTAATGGATTATTAATAACTTTTGACAAATTTACCCAGCCATCCATGGTTTGAAGGCTGAAATCACTGCTTTTGGATGACTCCATGGTGCAGTGTCTCAGTCTCATGAATAGTGCATGAATCCACTTGATTTTATTTGCCTCATTACTGCCCGCTTTCTCTGCTTCTTTCTTTGCCAGGTTCCCACCTTAGGCTCCCAGGAAGGTGCCTTTGAGAATGTGCGGATGAATTACAGTGGAGACCAGGGCCAGACCATCCGGCAGCTGATCAGCGCTCATGTGCTCAGGCGGGTGGCTATGTGTGTGCTCTCCTCTCCCCATGGGCGCCGCCAACATTTGGCTGTCAGCCATGAGAAGGGCAAGGTGGGTCCTCCAATTCTTGTGCACTTACTTTAGGTCATATTGTCTTAAATGCTAAGCAAAACAACTTGATGACCACGTTCGGATTAGCCCTCTGTGGGAAAAAGTCCGTTGGGTTCTAAGAATGCTTTAGGGACAGATCTTGTTGAGCTTTTCAAATACTTGGACCCCGAGTTGATTTGATTAGACCTAGAGCTGGTATGACTAGGATAGACTGTTTCGAATTAGTGAATTTCCACTCAAAACGTATTCTTCAAGCCCTCAGGAAAAAGTAATGACTAGCAGTTACCTAGGACAGGTTGACTCCCAGTCTTGCCCTGTTTGGTCACTCTGGCAGGCATAAGCCGAGAGACAAAAGTTTTCTTTTGGAATAGGAATACTCAGTGTTGCTTATGTAGTCCTGCCCTGCCTTCCCAGCTCTGTTAAGGATATAAGTAAATTTGTATTGTTTTATAGAGCTTGTAGAAGTTGGAAGAATGCTAGGTATCTTAACTCACACTTTTCTGTATTCCGGCCTCTCCATCACCACTAATATTGTTTTCACTTTTAAGTGAAAATATGGATACTCCTTAAAACAACTCTAAAATCATTTTAAAAACAGTTCCATGGAAAACTAGAAAAGGACAGTGGTACATAGGTATTCTTAAACTATTTTGTGAAAACTTTATAAAGAGAAATTGTTTTCATTACTTACCTGTTCTGTCCTCCATGGAAAGACATTCCGTGGCTTTTAGTCAGGAGAAATAGAGATTAATATTGATCTAGGATTTTCTACTAGACTTATCTGTAAAAAAAAAGAAAAAAGTGTGCAACCTGTTACCCCTATTGAAAGAGTTTTTGTTACTTGCTTGGACTTCTCTGAGAGGACCAGGAGTAAGAATAAATTGGTCATTGTTCCTTTGCAGATCACTGTTCTGCAGCTCTCTGCACTCCTGAAGCAAGCGGATTCCAGCAAAAGGAAGTTGACTCTGACCCGCTTGGCTTCTGCCCCAGTTCCTTTTACTGTGTTGAGCCTCACAGGAAATCCCTGCAAGGAAGACTACTTGGCAGTTTGTGGGCTAAAGGTAAAAATCCTGATCTAGGTTTTGATCCTTGAGCTGTAGATTCTAGTCATCTTCTCTCCCCTGTTCTCAGAACTACTTTTTCTTATTCATTGTTGAGATTAAAACTTAAAACCTACTGAAATGCAAAAGGAATTTTTCTTTGAATTTCTCCCAGATCTTTCAGATTTCTCCAATATTGAAACTAATGTTTGTGTTCATGAAACCTGAATGTTACTAGACAGTCTAAATACTCTCTGAAGGCAGGGGATATTAGAGAAAAAAGGGAACGTCAGAACTCTGAAATGAATTAGCCCACTTTCCAGATCATCTTTTCACCATTTTGTTCCTTAAACATTATCCAGGACTGCCATGTGCTCACCTTTAGTAGCTCAGGCTCTGTTTCGGATCACTTGGTTTTGCACCCTCAGTTGGCAACGGGGAACTTCATCATCAAAGCTGTGTGGTTACCTGGTTCACAGACCGAGTTAGCAATTGTCACTGCGGACTTTGTTAAGGTACAGTTACAGTTCTTTGTTGATATGGTTCTAGAATTTTTCTACTTTTAAATCTAGAATCATTATGTGCTAGCTTCTCCCAGAAGTTAAAAAATCAACTGGGTGCCATGAGTTGCACTTGTGGTACCAGCTGCTTGGAAGGCTGAGGCGGAGGATTACTTGAGGCTTAGTTCAAGGCTGCAGTGAGCTGTGATTATGCTACTCCACTCCAATCTGGGTGATAGAGCAAGACCCTGTCTCTAAAAATAATAGCCATATTTTGTCACCTTTTGCTATGTTGCTGACTAGGAGCTTTCTGTCTTTAGGCAATAGGGAACTGATTCTGGTTCTACCCTCACTGTACCAAGTGCACACTTATTGCCATACTTGTTGCAGAATTTATTTGTGTATGTCTGTCCCCTACTCATTCCTTGAAGGAGAGTGAAAGGTGTTCTGTTCATCTTTATAAGACCAGTGCCTGACACTCCATTTTTTATTGAATGGAGAATGAATGCCCGTTATTGGTCAGTTCTGGCTATTTGGATTCACTAAGATATTTGGGGGATGGGACTGAGATAGATTTCCCTTATTTAATTTTTCTTCCATCCTGCAGATTTATGACCTGTCTGTTGATGCCTTGAGTCCAACCTTCTACTTTCTCCTGCCAAGCTCAAAGATAAGAGATGTTACCTTCCTTTTCAATGAGGAGGGAAAGAACATCATTGTTATAATGTCTTCAGCTGGGTACATCTATACTCAGCTTATGGAAGAGGCCAGCAGTGCCCAGCAGGGACCCTTCTATGTCACTAATGTATTGGAAATCAATCATGAGGACCTGAAGGTTAGAGCACATGTTGCTATTTCCTTCTATTCCAGATTTAATTATTTAGCAACTCCTCTATTCTTTTCTCTTTGTTCTTTTATGACATTTTTCTGTGGACTTCATCTAACTGGGTCTTTTTTTCTTTTTCTTTGTTTTTCCTTCTAACTTTCTGCCTAATAGCAAAATCTCTTATCCTTTAGGGCTAAACTAATTCAACTTCAAGTTCCATTTTTCTCAGGGTCTTTGTAAGATTTACCCACAGGGATCTCATGCTTAGAGTATGAGAGCACCTGATCATGATTGAAAACTAATAACCAGTATAACCTGGAAGTTGGTAGCCAAGGCAACGTGAATTACTGCAAATATGTGTTTTTGTGCCAGCAGGACAGTAACAGCCAGGTGGCAGGCGGCGGTGTGTCTGTGTACTACTCCCACGTGTTGCAGATGTTGTTCTTCAGCTATTGTCAAGGCAAATCATTTGCAGCCACCATCAGCAGGACGACCCTGGAGGTGTTACAACTCTTCCCCATTAACATCAAAAGGTGGGAATGAACACTTAATGTTCAACTTCCACAATGTCCACATTCAATGATGGATCTCCACTCCCACTATCTGCTGTCTGTTCTGAGTTTTGTGAAACTTAATTTTCTCCAGCCAACCTTTTTTTCTCCCTGCTAGATATCTTTAAAATCAAGGAACATCTGGGTTTGGCAGGTTGGGTTGTCTGCACAGTTTGTCCTCCACCCTGGAGACCCCAAGCCGTCAGAGGTAGTTTAGGGGTCCACTGTTACTTAGAAGGAAAACGTATAGTTAATGTTATAAATGTGATTTTAATGTGAGAAGGGAACCTAAATTTCTCTTAGATGCTCATTCTGCCATAATGCCCTTTAAGTTTTTCTCCTGGGGGAGACTTACTCTGTTAGCAAATAGAATGTATCAGTAATGGGGGCATGGTTGGATTTGGGGGAGGAAGAGACTTTCACCAAGTTTGCAGATAATAGAGGGGTGTGTAAGGTAGTGAGAGTTTCACTTAGGGAGGAGGAAGAAGAGGCTTAAGGTATCATCCCTTGTTTCTTATCTGCCATTGATGACCCAATTGTAGCACTTTCTCTCAGGCCTTTCTTTGGGAATTACCTGGTTTGGGATGAAATAAAATGGATACCAGTTTACACTAACTCGATGTTTTTGGAGATCCTGACAGGACATTGGGTCATTGCCTTAGGCAGCTCCATGGCCCTCTAAAGTTGACAGCCTCTAGGCACATAGGGCCACCTGTTCTTCAGACATGGAACCTCACAGTGGAGATTCCAAAGGAGGACTGCCCTGCCGGAAGCACCATTGGGGTGTATGAGCGTGTGTGCATGGCTTGGAATAAAACTGACCTGTGGATAATCTGACTCCCTGGCCAAAGATATTGCTTTGGAGTCACGTAGCCAGTTAGAGGATGGTTTTTAGGTCAAGAAAAGAACTATTGAATGGTGATTGACACTCTAACTGTGGCCAGTTTTGTTGTCTGCAGTTCCAATGGTGGCAGTAAGACTTCTCCTGCTCTTTGCCAGTGGTCTGAGGTGATGAACCACCCTGGCTTGGTGTGCTGTGTCCAGCAAACTACAGGGGTGCCGCTGGTAGTTATGGTGAAACCAGACACTTTTCTTATCCAGGAGATTAAGACTCTTCCTGCTAAAGCAAAGGTCAGTGCCAGATTTTCCCATTCATTACTTTGCTGTGAACCTGATCTCTTTTTATATTTGTTTATTCATTTCACTTCCCCAGCTCTTTCAGTGGAGGCCCATAAAAGATTTTCAGTTCTTTTTCTCCTAGATGCCTTTTCTTTGCCACCCTTCTGTACAGCCCCTCAACTGACCGTGAAACCAGTTGCATCTCTGCCTCTTTTTCTGTGTGGATGCTGATCTGTAGGTGTGGGAACTACGACCCTACTTTGTCCTCTCCTCCTAGATCCAAGACATGGTTGCCATTAGGCATATGGCCTGCAATGAGCAGCAGCGGACAACAATGATTCTGCTGTGTGAGGATGGCAGCCTGCGCATTTACATGGCCAACGTGGAGAACACCTCCTACTGGCTGCAGCCATCCCTGCAGCCCAGCAGTGTCATCAGCATCATGAAGCCTGTTCGAAAGCGCAAAACAGCTACAATCAGTAAGGCTCCTTAGATGACTTGTGGGGGAGTAGGAATGGTGGTCTTCTAGACAGTGACTCAGAATAGACTGTTGCAAATATCTGTGAAGAAATGGTGACTGTCCTACTTGCACATTTTGTAAAATTAGAGGTATGTGCTAGCTAATTTCCCAAAAGCAGAGTCACAGTTCTAAGTGGCAAGCACCCATTGGCTGCCTGTTTCAGGCCACCGGTTCTTTGGTGCCTAGTAACGAGTTATGTCCTGGACCTTATTTGAGAGATTGTTCTCTCTAGGTTTAGGGAGAATGACTTCTCTGAAGAATGGAACTGATTGAAGTATAGATCTCTTCAGTTGGTTAATTTCCCACTGAGTAGTGAAGAGCCCACCACAGGTCTCTGAGCTGGTGGTCTAGCACTTGACTGACTAAGGACTCTTCAGGAAAGTGAAAGCTTGAGTTTAGCAGTGAACGAATCCAGCTAAGCAAAGACCATTACAGGGATCATCACATTACCTTAAATTTGCTCTAGAGTACATTTCAAAAGAATTTTGGTTTATTCATTTACATTCTCCTATAAAGAAGTAGTTTCTATTGTTTATTTTAAATAACCCAGTTATGGGAAAGCCTATTGTTATTAACTGTACACCCGATACCAATGCCAGATTTCTTTGTATTGCTAGGACATGTCATAGTTAGGGATAACAACCACTGAAGAGCTAACCACATGTAGGCATTATGCTGATGCAAATGTTATAATCCAGAGTTTGTTTAGATTAGAGTGTGAGTGTGGGCTCTGTCTGGGAGGAGTCTTTACCAGCGGTGTCGGGTCAAAGGTAGGAGAGACTCTCTGACGATCTGGTATCATTCTCTGCAGCAACCCGCACATCTAGCCAGGTGACTTTCCCCATTGACTTTTTTGAACACAACCAGCAGCTGACAGATGTGGAGTTTGGTGGTAATGACCTCCTGCAGGTCTATAATGCACAACAGATAAAACACCGGCTGAATTCCACCGGCATGTATGTGGCCAACACCAAGGTGAGAATGGCACTGAACTGGGATCAGTCCCTGGGTAAAAGGATTCATAAACAATATGGTTTGGGAATACATCTCCTTTTAGAATGCAAGTATGGAGTATATACTCGCAGTCACAACCCTCGGTTCTAGTTAAATGGTTCCTTAGAAAAATGGATATTCTCACTCACTTGGCAAAGGACTTGTACAGGTTGGGTTTCCACCAGTACCAGCAGGATTACTGTGTAGAGGACACCAAAGAGGTTGTTAATGCTGGGGAGAAGGAAGCCTGACATTGAAGAGAATCTGCTCTCTTTTCCTATTTTCTCATTCTTAGAAACAAGGAAGTCATTACCGGGGAGTTAAAAGGATAAGATTTAATGAGCTTCACATGTTGAGACAATGTCAGAGAAGAAGGAGTCCTAGTTCAGACTTAAGAACTTCCGTTAGTTTCTTGATGTGTGCCTTGTCTCCCTACAGCCTGGAGGCTTCACCATTGAGATAAGTAACAACAATAGCACTATGGTGATGACAGGCATGCGGATCCAGATTGGGACTCAAGCAATAGAACGGGCCCCATCGTATATCGAGATCTTCGGCAGAACTATGCAGCTCAACCTGAGTCGTTCACGCTGGTTTGACTTCCCCTTCACCAGAGAAGAAGCCCTGCAGGCTGATAAGAAGCTGAACCTCTTCAGTGAGTCACCAACCCCTGGTGCAGACTCTGTCCTCATTGTGACTGTGAAATTGGGAGCCACTGGTCTGTGACTCTCCAATATTCTGGGATCTCTCCACTCTACTGGTTTTTCTGTCCTTTTGTCAGGAAACTTTGAGCTTCATTTGAAATATTAAAGAGGCAAGGTGACAGGAAAGGAGTACACTGGAGCATGGTAGCAGTAAAGATAGGGCTGCACTTCGTTAAGTATTCATTTCTATAGTGTTGTGTCTGCCTCACTAACGGGGCTACTTCTGTGTTTAGGCTGAGAGGAGGCAGATTGACATGAAATTGCAAGGCTTTC